TAGTCCCCCGATAACCACCAGTCGACTTATGGCATTCCGTGATTAACTGCCTGTGTCACTGCGTTTATAGTACGATCCCATCTTTGGCAGATGACTAGTATTATTGGGTGTACTCCGTATGCAATCTCAGGGAAATCGGCTTCGTCTTCTGATGGAGATAAAATGTCAACCAACAAATTTCCTTTCAAAAACTGGATACATTTGTCCCTCTTCATGATTTTAAATGCAGTCAGAGAGATAATTTCAGGAGAATAAGATGGTACCATCATTGATTTCGTTGGCTTCTCATTTTCTGTTTACAGTCTAAAGAAACTACTAGACTTATGTATAGAACAATTTTAACATGCTTACGCATTTTCTATGGATGGTCTGTAATTATTAGATTTGTTTTTACGAGATGATCACGGATTGATATCAGTTAGAGAACCAATGAAATGTTTCATGATGTCAGTTGACAGGATGCTCCAAACTGAATGAACAGTGTTCAGTAAATCAAACTTATCTAGTTGTTACCCAGAGATTTCAAGTTCGAACAAAATTATTGTGTGCATGCAGTGATGAAGGAGTGGGGTGATAAAGACAAGAGGTGGGTGTCCTCGATCGCCATAGTGCCTAGTTATCACTTTCGACATATAACTGTTGACCTAGTAGATGAGTTCTGCATTAATCTAACGTACACATCATCTCTAAACATTCATTGTCGACCGCTGAATACTGTTTTTCCCTATATGTTAGCGGATGACTGACATATTAGACAACTCAGTCAATCCTGGGCTCGAGTTCCATGGTCACCTGCACTCATGAATACAGTGAAATGTTTTCCAGGTACAGCCAGTTTGAACTTAATTCTCTGGAAGTCTGAATGCTGTTAATTACAGTCGAATATACTCTGCGAGTCTTCTGACCAGAAAAATATGGAATGACCTTGTAGTCTGTAATACCACGATTTCGTTCTCTAATCCCTGACTGGAATGTTCTTTATTGCCAACATTTTGTCAGGGGGTGATTTTTTCCTACCGTTCCCCATTTCATGTTCTATCAGCTCCTGCACGTCATCCAACTATGTGGTGGTTTTGCATCCCTTCAAAGACACCCTCACAACTTACTGTTTGCAGACCTGTGACCTTTATTTTATTTTTATTTTTTTTATTTTTGGTTACAGCTTGATGCCACACCGTATTTTCAGTACAAGTACGGCATTTTCAGCATGGATATCGGTAGCCCAAATTTTTCAGGCCGACCATAGATATCGGGTGTGCGTCGGCAGGCGATCGAACCCCGGACCATGTGCATGGTCGGCGAAAGTCCTAACCACTGTGCCACCGATCTTGCACTTTCGTCTCTCAAAAAGCAGAGACAACAATTGCAGCGAAAGTACACGATAGTATATGGTAGAAGAATTATTCATTTCACGAACAGATAAACAGTGACACCATTATACAAAGACCATACAATGAAATTTCATTTTCCGAACTTTAATCGTTCTCTTTTCCTCTTTTTCTACGCGATATACTACAGGTGAATTCTTGTCAGCAGAAAATAAATTAGCTTCTGGAATAATGATCACACAACATCCAACGCTGAAAACGATTCAAACTTTTACTTTTCAATCAGAAAATTGAGAAGTAAATATTTCTTCGCTCAATCTTTCTGTCTTCTAAATGTCTAAATGGGATTCTCTCTATATTAGGTGTGAACTTGTTAGGTTCATGAATACTGTCAGATGTTCAAGGCTGAAATTTTTTGATGAATACATTCTATTCAAAGCTGATGTTAACCAACGATAAAACACACTACTTCATGTATACACTGTTATACAATAAGCCTCAATTCATTTCTCATTTTTCCTTTAATATATTTCTTTTTCTTACGTCACTTTATACTACTCATCATTAGTAAGTAGTCAAAACTATATTTTCTTCCTTCTTAAAGAAAAGTGGCTTTTCGGATACACTCAGCTAATTATCGGTATTTTGATGTTAACTGTTGCATTTTGCGGTACTGTGAAGCCAAAATATGCCACACATGTCAATCTCCTCATAATACCTACATGATATATATTTCCAAAGTTTGAAGCTAATGGAAATCAGGGTGTGCACTTGTTAATTCTAATCTTACTGTCCACTGAAATTCTTCTATTTGTAAAATATAATATTTGTTGTCGTTACAATAAAGGCCAGTTATGCAGCCGATACATTTTAACGTAGAATAACAGATTAGTTATGAGGTGTCAAAATAAATAGTCGTATTTGTGTGACAAACGTGCTAGGCTGAATTCGATTACAAAATATTGTAAAACGGGAGACATTGGTGATTAATCATAATAGATTTGCAGAGTGTGGGGTAGGAAAATTGACAAGTCAGTCCAAGGTTATAAAAGGTGTCAGGTGAGTGGCTAGTATAAAGTGGTCTGTGTTAAACAGGAGATAGTATAACTAAAACACAGACCACTTAGTACTAGCCACTCACCTGACACCTTTTATAACCTTGATCTGACTTGTCAATTTTCCTACCCCACACTCTGCAAATCTATTATGATTAATCACCAATGTCTCCCGTTTTACAATATTTTGTAATCGAATTCAGCCTAGCACGTTTGTCACACAAATACGACTATTTATTTTGACACCCCATAACTATGAGAAGACAGAGATTATCTGAAAAATGTGATGTATTTGCGCTATACATTTCGACCAATCTGATCACACATTTACTTGTCAAGTCAATATATATGGAAAAGCTAAATTAAACAAAGTGACAAAAAAAGAATGTGATGTGTAGCTAAATGAACTCTCAGCTTCCCTGAAACTGTTTGCAATTTAGCCTAGTGTTTCTTTGTTGATTAATTGCATGATAACTTATGCTGATTTTATTACACTCACTAACCATTCATTTCAACAATTTCCAGGAAGCAGACGTGTGGAAACTACTGGTACCTTAGGTAGAATTCGACTATGTCAGAACAACGAAAGCATGTGACTAGCTGAGGATAGTGTGACTTGTTTGTGAATGCAAGACAGTATTCAACCAGAAATGGAATTGATTCTGTATGAACACTTTTTATTTGACTAAAGTAAGATATTTACTCTGGATAATTACCTGATCGACGAAAAAATCACAACTGACATAAAATGTGTCCAGACAGAATTTACTCTTACGGAGATAGGACGACATAAAACCAGAGGATTTAAATGAGATTAAATAATATAAACTTTTTACAATTAAGAAATTGGAACCGACAACAGATAGATGGGCGTTACGGAGGCAAATCGAGAATCAATAATGCTTTCTGACTATAGTTGCTGTCGTGTCATTCTAAGATGATGATTTGAAATCCGTTGACGAATCAATACAAATCAGAGATTCCTTATTAGAGTCGTGTCAGCTGTCGGTGTACATGTAGCTATCAGAGATGTGTACCACTCAAGAGTCTTGAACTAGAATGAAACGCCTTTCCGGTTCTCAGTGCTGAGTATTATTATCATTATTATTGATACTATTGGCCACCATTTGAACGGTAATCATGCATATCTTACTGGTTAATTTCACACACACAGTATCATTCTATTCAGTTCTAATTATTCATTCCTCTAAGCTTGTTTAACAGTTCCTACACGAGACAACCTATTATCTTCTCTTCTACTTGCATTAACTGCATATTTTGTAAACACTAATATTACTATAAAAACCAACACCATCTTTTCAACCGAACCCATTCCACTCTATCAGTTACATTGCTATTATTCATAAGGTTATGTATCCGCATTCGCTGCCTAGTGGATGGAATTGTTTACAGATTTGAAACTGTTCGAACCGAAGGCAAAGTTGTTGAAAAAAATTGTTCACTTAAATATTTCTTATTTGAAGTGTTCAAAGAGAATTTCGAAATTACACAAATCAAATATCTTTCCACACATCTCAAATCCATTATGCTAAGAGAACTCAGTTGCGCACATATCGTATATATTTAGTTATTCACAAAGCACGTTTATATTTGCCATCATTCGCAAACATCACTTAATAATATACTGACAACAAACAAAATCACAATGATCTCCAATCAGAAATTTCGTTGTTACGAGCATGTTAATATAAGTGTATGCACATTTAGACAGAAAGACATCGTCAACGTTTTCGCATCTCCTTCTGATATTCATTGCAATGAATTTGATCATATTTCTCATCTGCCTGTGTCATGTGAATTCTGAGATTATCAAGATTCCATTGCACCCAGTGACTGGAATCAGTTCAATGCTGAATCCATATCGGAAACTGTTCAGGGTATTACAACGAAGTTGGGTGAATTTATTGAATGGCGCAGATACACCAACATCAGAACCGCTATATAATTATGGCAATGTAAGTTGACTTTCAGTAATGAAGCGAATGTTTGTTGATGTGAGTGATATCTGAATCTGCAGTACCAGATAAACATTGTAAGTCTAAGTATTGAAATATTTTTTGCTGAATGCAGAATCAGGGTACCTAAAATGATTTCGTTGTTACTGTTTGAGTAAGAAAACAAGCTGTTGTGATTTTCTCCCCTGACTATATCACCAGTAGGTGTTAATTGGAGGAGAATGTGTATGTATTACTGTCTCTCCTTGTTAGTGGTTCAATCAATTTTCATCAGGCCTACAAACTGGATATTAATGTGACACGATAGTCTACAGTACACCGTCGTTTAGATGTCACATGTACCGCAACACCGTGACACAAAATAAAAGTATTTAATGACGGATTGGTACTCTTGCACACTGCTTTACTTCTATTCTTTCTTTGATCAGATTTCATAATCTGAACTGTTAAATCTTCCAGGCTGTATTGCCAATATTTCGATGACTTTCACTTTAATAGTATTCCACACATGGATACAATAATGAAATATTGGTAGAAGTCTTTTAAAACCACTTATTATTGTCATTAATGTAGACTAGTTCATCATGACACTGAAATGACAGGCGATTTTCCAAATCTCGCGTTCATTATATCCTTTTCAGATTCAGTACTATGGAGAATTACTAGTGGGAACGCCACCACAAAAGTTCCGTGTACTCTTCGATACAGGATCAACCGAAACTTGGCTTCCCTCAAGAAAATGTTGGTTTCTCGACATTCCATGTTGGTTCATTCGATTCTACGACAGTTCAAAATCATCCACGTACCAGTCAAATGGTACCAAATTTAATATAAGTTACCTGGTTGGCAGTTACTCTGGATTTTGGAGTATGGATACAATGCAGGTATTGTGGTTTTACGACTTGAAGTGACATTGGTTTCAGATAAACTCCTTAGTTATTCGCAATCAGGCATTTGCTGAAGTGACAAATGTGTTTTCCGATGATTTCTTTGGTAGTAAGTATGATGGAATCATTGGTATGTCAAGGAGAAATGTGTCAAGATATGGGAACACTCCATTCTTCCCGAATATACTCTCTCAGTCAAAGGATATGGATCCAGTATTTTCTTTCTATTTGAATCGGTAGGTTCTATATTACATCATGGTAGTATTACACTTGTAATCAACGGCTGATAGTTACTAGATTTATGAGTAGTTCTCTGCCATTCATATCGATCTGGTATGACCCATGTGACTCGATATTTAGTTATTCGTAATGCAGATCCGCTTATAAGGAAATAGGGTATTCATCTTTATATGAATACATAAGATGAATCTCCACCGTAAAATAAAATTGGAATCCATCAAACAGGAAGTAGTTTTAGACCATATTCGAATAAGAGTATGGAGAAAGACTTGACAAATGCATTTTTCAGGGTGTATGTGACTTGCTCCATTTGAGCAAGATAATTATGGACACTCATTGAATTGCCTCAATACAGTAATCTATCTCTACACATCCCTCAATCAATTATTAACTCCAAAGTTGATGCATAGCTGAGCGAAAATTATTCCTGCGTGAAATTAGATGCATTGCTACCCTCTCGAGATGTTATCTCAAGAAACAATACACACAGTGATTTACAGAAGTGCTCATATATTTTAGTGGCAAAAACAAATCGAATACATTCCTCAGTTTCGCCACAATCGATGATAGTGTTTCTTCCATTTGTACAGTGTGATCATTCTCAATGGACTTTTTGAAACCATCTCCTCATCTGCTGTTACAGACATTGAATTACCAGCGTATTCGCGACGACTGTTTGTCATGAGTAGTGTCTTCTAGTGCACACTGAGCTGAAAGTGTGCACAATTATGACATTATATTTGGGAAATAATAGTGCCTTATGGTACTGTCTTAACTTACATCGTTTTCACTTGCAACTTGAATGGCACTGAAATGTGAAGTGTTGGAGGCAATTATTGAATTTTGTGATTTCATGCAAATTTGCGCGTCATGTTTATCATGATCACCATTCAAATTTATGTTGGACGAAGGCTAAATTGAACTCACTTCTAACCAAGTAAGCTAAGCACAGTTTTCGTGTTTTGTATTTTGTAGAAAGAACGGTCATGTCGGTGGAGAGATGGTGATTGGTGGTGTCAATCCTGAATATTTTATTGGAGATTTCGAAAACTTGCCTGTCGTTTCTCATAACCGTTGGTCTGTTATAATCAAAAGGTAGTCAACTGATGCTTGCATGACTTCATAGGCAAACATATCATTTTTTCACGTGGACATTAAGACCATAGGAAGTGTGGAGTGGTTGTCACAGTTATGTCTTCTAATCAAAGTATATTTAATACACGCAACAATTCCCACTTTTCCAGTAATAAAAGTCATACACTCAAGTAAAAGTCTATTGGATGAGGTATGCCTTGATCATTCCAGATGACAAATTAGTGGACAGTTATTCAGCATCCCTAATTTATTATAGTTGGTTTGAACCTGAAATACTCTCTTCTAGTACAAATAAGGCAGTCATTTGACCACCATCACCTCAACACATGAAAACCGATTCCCCTTCTACCAAACAACATCATATATGCTGACTATCCATTTCTACGTGCGATAAACACACAGATGCTGGCGTGACTACTTACTGGCCAACTTTCACTGAGTTATCGAAGAAAGTGTCGTCTATTTGATTTTAATCTGTTGACAACCTGAGTGGTTTATCTGGAAACGAATGCCATTTGAAATGCTGATAGTGTGTAGTCAAGTTGACTTGAGAAATCTCAAGTGGAAACTTTCATGGTGTGCGTAATTTCAGCATGTTTTGTATGTGTTCACGAGTATTCCAGTGAACAAAGTCATTAGAATGATTTAGTGAAGGCTGTTATTGGGTGAAAGTGAAATAAATTCTGATGAGAGCTGAAAGTTAATAAACAGACAGGGATTTGTGTATTCGTGTGGAGATGACTGAGGAGAACTAAGTATGCCCATTGCGTCTGATTATTAGGATGAGTGGTTTTGTGATTGGATTAATTTATATCAATACACTCTTCACTGCATAGACTGGTTAGTGTTTCAGTTGTGTTTGTTTTACCATGTTTAGCATGAAGATAGGTGGAGCAGATTTTTGCCTTGGAAAATGCATTGGTATTATAGATACTGGAACGTCTTTGATACTGGGACATAGCAGAGCGGTGGATGTGATGAATGATCATCTTGGTGCCAAATGGAGTGGTGATGGGGGTTATTCACTCGACTGTAATTACATTCACATGCTCCCTGCAATTGAGTTTGTCTTCAGGAAGAAGACCTATGTACTTAGCCCGAAGGATTACGTGCTTAAGGTAAGTATAATCACTCAGTTGAACTTTCTGATTCTGTTGTGATCAGCACACTGAGAAAACATCTTCACCAATTTCACTAGTTTTCATTCAACAGACAGCCAAGTATTGTGAAATCCATACAACCAGTGTGGATTGATTTTAGTCACTTATCTGTAGAAGTGAACGGCTTTCTGTGTGAAATGTGAGCTTCTAATATGATTTGTACGGCGTTCTTTCCATCCAGTCGGTTAACTCTTATATCACGGATGGAAGGAATCACCAGACAAATTAAAATTCATCTGTGGAGTCACCAGCACCAACTTATTAAATAAGTTTCAGATTATCACAGTTACTCACCACTTTCCTTTTTTTGACATCTCACTAGAAAATGCTGTCAACCTCAAATAATTCTGAACAACTGCATCCGCTTCCATTATTTTACATAAGTAACCGTCACATTTTATCAGCATATTCGAGTCAACTCCATGGGAACGCACACCATTTGTGTTCTGGTCAGTTGGAGTTGGCTGTAGAAGTAGGTGAATTCGACATCCACTAAGATTGTTCTCAATTTTCTTTACAAGACAGGAAGTCTGAAAGTGACTAAAATTCACTGTATTTTTGATTTTAGGAGGAAAACTGGTTGTATACAGACTGTACATCACCTTTTGCCAGCAATGATAAATTACCCTCTGGATATTGGGTTCTCGGCGATGTATTCATGAGCAAGTTTTACACTGTATTCGATTTCGGTGAGTCACAGATAAGATTAGCTGATGTTGACGATGACTAAACCTCGTTGTACTGGATCCCGTGAATCACTGAAAATAAACAAATTTCGCAAAGTAATCTACTACCTTCTTATTTGAACAGGTGATTTTCTTTCTAGGTGTTCTACATACTCGACAAATGTAGTGAGCACAGTTCTGAGTTTAGAGCAGCATACACGGTTTTGAAATGAATAGGAGAATGTAATTTTCAACTAACATACAGGCATCTTTATCACTGATCCGAACCCGAATTAATCGAAACTGATGAAAAACCAAAATGGTGGTCTCGCTTGTCTCAAATCAGTGCATAATGATTGGCATTTTCAGCATCAGTTGTTTCTGCACTCGAAATTGATATCCACTAACACCGCCTAAATTCATTCACATGCACCACGTTTCCAATAATTCCAGTATAAATGACTATTCGGCATATCACAAGTGGTTAGTGACATTGAAGAGACATACTTGTTTGTGATGGACCAGCATTGGTTAGTGTGGGCGCCGTTGATGATGTGGTGAACTTAACATGGCTTCTCTTCAGGTTGTACATGCAAGTCAGCCATGTCACATCACATAATACATGGTTTAGAGGTAAATGATTGTCGGTCATGATCACGTTGTCCGAGGAACGTTGTAAGGCATCACTTCCTCATGTGTTCTAAATAGATGCATGTTTCGAGGATAAAAGAGGAGGATCATAGTTTGTTGATAATAGGACTAATCGGTAGCCGCTAGTTAGTAGAGGTAGCACATCACTTGACTGGGATTACCTGTACTATAATGATGCACCAATAATCTATCCTCCACTGTCATGTTGATTTTCATTGGTTATAGTTGCATACCATCAAAAATCTATTACCAAGCATAATACATAATAGTTACTCAGTAAGACGCTTATTTAGTGAAATGCAGGATCCCATCAAATCAATTTGCAGTATATATCCTAGTGGTGGACATTTCATACGCCTCACTAATCTTTGTGTTCTTTATACTTGGACAAATTTAACGCTGCTCTGTAATTCATGCATTCAGAAAATCTTAAGAACACTATGAACTGCACTGGGTGCAATGAGAATGCGCGACTGAAACCGAATATTCCAGAAAGAATGCAAGAAGTGATCAATAATAGTGATAATAGTATTAATAGTTCTGTTGTGAGTGTTTCTCGAGTTCACCGGCAATTAATTGCATCTACAGTCTGCGCAGATGGAATCATATCGTATTTCAGCCAGAGATATTAGCTGAGCTGCACGCCTAATGGATAACGTTGTCCGATAGAACATGCTTGCATTGTCATCAACGTATTGTGTCCAACATCTAAAGGTGCACATTTCGTTTCTTCAGTAAACCGATATCTGCTACCAGTGAGTTGTGTCAGCTGAGGCGAATATTTCTGCATGATCCATCATACCAGAAGAGACTGTTAAATAAATTTTTGAACTGAAGTTGGTCATGTCAAAATATATCAAGTTATATTTGAGACGATATCAGGTTTCCTTAGTTCAATGGCGAGAAATATGGGACTGAAACTGGATACTGTTGAGCCAGGTAGGTATCTAGGTGGTTCTGTGTCCTCTCAAAACGGGTTCGCGAAGGCTACATAGCATGGTTGTTTGTTGATGATGCTGGTTTAGTCGTGAGTGTTAAAATCGGACACTACGTCAATATCTGTCACTATATCTCGGCTGACAGATCATCTGGAGTTTGAAGCATATGAACAATAGATCTATTGCGAGTACCATAAATCCACACCATAAATATAGACACAATCGAATTCCTAACTAATCGTATGGAA